TGGGCAGGAACAAAATGATGGTGTTTTCTGAATGACAGATTTAGGAGTATGGATTTCATGCTAAGGCAGTAGGTCCCAAACTTCAGCAGGCATCCTAGCAATCTGCAGAGCTTAGTAAAACACAAACTTCTATGCCCTACCCCATAGCTTCTTCCAAGCCAGGAGGTCTGGGCTGGGGCCTAAGAATGTACATTTCTAACATGTTCCTGGATGATAATATTGCAGATCTGGAGATTACAGTTTACGAACCACCATTGTGGCTCAGCGCCCATAGCTCAGCAGTTAGGGTGCCAGCCACATGCACCAGGGCTGGTAGGTTCAAACCCAGCTGAGCCTGTTAAACAAATAAACAAACAAAAAAACAGTTGGACATTGTGGTAGGTGTCTGTAGTTCCAGCTACATGGGAGGCTGAGGCAAGAGAATCAACTGAGCCCAAGAGTTTGAGGTTGCTGTGATCTGTGACAAAACAGCACTCTACCAATGGCAACAATTTGAGACTCTGTCTCAAAACAAAACAACAAAAAAACCACCATTGTAAGGCAAATACTTTAAGGAAAAAAAGGGAGAGAAACAGATTCCTTATAAGATCAACCTGGCCTAGAAGATGAACAAGCAGGGGCCCTATTGGAATCAGGAAGTCCAGTGAGTAAGGTGCTACATTAGTTATGGGAAGCAATTATGATGCCTAACATGGAAGCAGGCCCACTGGGGGATGGGACAAGGTCTAGCAAAAAGCATACAGCCAATAACTGTTAAAAAAAAAATGCTCACCTGGAAGACAAGGAAGTTTCGAGCTTTGATGAGAATACCCAACTTCTCTAATTCCTCACTATACTCATGTAGCTGGACCACTTTGTTGTTTATCTTGTACTCTGAGGAACCTCCTATAAGACAACACATGAATGAGTCAGTAAGAATCAGGCCTCCATCCTATCCTAGTCAACTAGTCTAGCCATGTCCTAGGACCTTGCAAAGAGAATTTTCTGGTCGGCCTCACCCACCTACTATGACACGGGCGAAGGTACGGTCTTCAGCACCCTCTTCAGAGTAGACCATGCTGACAAAGGCCCGGTTGGCAGCTGGCTTGCCCACAGGAGCTCCATGGATAAGGTCCCGGAGAGTCTTTACTCGTAGGTTGCTGGTTTTTTCACCTAGCACAAAGCTGATGGCATCCATGAGATTTGACTTACCTAATGGAAGATGGAACAAAGTAGAAAAAGGAGCAGGAAATCACTCAGTACTCACACTGATGGGAAGAGAGAATACTCCTTCACTCTCACAAAGACTGGGCCCAACCAAACCTCTGGGTCAATGGCTTAGGAAAAATAGTCCTCTTTAAGTTATTACTTACAGTAGCCAGAAACTAGAACCCAATCTAAGGAAATGGTATATTCACAGAACAGATTATTCTACAGCCTTTAATGACACAGACAAAAACCCACAATAGGTGAAACAAACAGGATACACAATTCTGTATAGGTTATTTCAACCATGTTAGAAAAACAAAAACAAAAAATGAGCTGGGCCAGGTGCAGTGACTCATGCTTATAATCCTAGCATTTTGGGAGGTTGAGAAGGGAGAATCACTTGAGGCCAAGAGTTCAAGACTAAGCCTAGGCAACATAGTCAGACCCCGTCTCTACACACACACACATACACACAAAATTTTGTCTAGCACAGTGGTGTGCACCTGTAGTTTTAGTTACTTGGGAGGCTAAAGTAGAAAGATGGCTTAAACCCAAGAGTGTCAGGCTATAGTGAGCTATGATCTTGCCACTGCTCTGCTCTCCAACTTCAGCCAAAGAGTGAAAACCCTTCTCAATGGGAGTTGTATTTTAGTGGGAATAGTTTCAGTTTTGCAAGATGAAAAAGTTCTGGAGATGAGTTACACAACAATGTGAATATACAGTAGAACCTCTGTAAGTTGACTACCCAAGGGACTATAACAAACTGATCAACATACAGAGATGATAAACACAAAGAACTAGGCCTACTGTACTGATATGTACATGTGGTGGATGTCCAGTCTATGAAAATTAGGTCAACTTAAGGAGGTGGTCAATGAAGGGGGGGTGCTTAACTATGGAGTTTCTACTGTATTTAGCACTACTGAACTGTACACTTAAAAATAGTTTACTATTTTTGAGATTGTGTATTTTACCACAATCTAAGGTTATGGTAGTGTAGATGGGCTTGGTGGCTTACATCTGCAATCCTAGCACTCTGAGAGGCTGTGGAGGATCACTTCAGGTCAAGAGTTTAAGGCCAGCCTGAGGAAGACACTGTCTCTACAGAAAATATGAAATCAACTAGGTGTGGTGGCACATGCCTGCAGTGTCAGCTAGAACTTTGAGGTTGTAGTGAGCTATGATGACACTACTGTACTCTAGCCTGGGCAATACAGACCTTAGCCCAGGGGAAAATAAAAAAAAGCAACCCAAGTCCAACAGATCAGATTCCAATCTTAGTTTCACTTCTTAGCTGAGCTTCCTTCCATTCCGTTGCCTGGAAAAAATGAAAAATCAAAACTCAGAAGTCTAAAAAAATGCTTGGCACATAATTCTCTGTTGGAGTGGCAGAAGCACCAGCTTTGAAGTATGACAGGCATGGGTTCTGATCCTGGCTCTGAGAACCATAGACAAGTGATCACACCTCTGTGCCTCAGTCTTCTCACGTATAAAAAAAGCTAATGGTATTTCTTTCCTAAGGTCATTGTGAGAATACAAATGTAAGGAGTCCCAATTAATACAGTACCTGTTACACAGTAAATGCTCAATAAATGAGTCCTATCTTAACAGAAGTTCTGGACTTTTAGCTCTTGTCTCCCTCATCACAGCAGGACTAGTATATCCTGCAGACCATGCTTTTAGGTACCATTTCCCAAACTTTGGGCTTCTATGATCTCCAGGGATGACAAGAGTATCTCACAACCACAGAGCTCTCTAGTTACAAGTGCAGTCAATATTGTAAACATTTTTTATAATACGGTAGAACCTCTGTAAGCTGACCACCCAAGGGAGTGTAAAAAACTGGTCAACAGAAGAAACCAGACCTACTATTATACTGATATGTACATGTGGTAGGTGTCCAGCTTATAAAAATCAGGTCAACTTAAGGATTTAGTCAATGTAAGAAGGTGGTTAACTATGGAGGTTTTACTGTATATATTAAAGGCTGAACACAGACAAAATGTTTGAAGGAATGTCTTTTTTTTTTTTTTGAGACAGAGTTTTAATATGTGGGTAGAGTGCTGTGGCATTACAGCTCATAGCAACCTCAAACTCTTGGGCTTAAGCAAGTCTCTTGCCTCAGCCTCCTAAGTAGCTGAGACTACAGGCACCTGCCACAATGCCCAGCTATTTTTTTGTTACAGTTGTCACTGTTGGTTAGCTGGCCTGGGCCGGATGAACTCGCCAACTTTGGTGTATGTAGCTGGCGCCCTAACCACTATGCTACAGGCACTGAGCCTGAAGGAATGTCTTCTTTAGGACACTCATAAACCAGTGATGAAGATACAAAAACATGTAGCATGAATACAAGACAGATGAAAATATATATTAATGTGTACTGTCTATCGTGTGCCAGAAAGGAAGAGTAATTTACTGAGGGGAATCAAGGAATGCCTCATAAAGGTGGGCCTGGAAGAATAGGAGCATGGACACCTGGGACAGTATGCATGTCAGGCCATGAACCTTTGCACAACAACTGGGTATACAAATCTACCAATGCTGAGGGGAATGAATGCCAAGAGGTACATTCTGGCTTTTTCCACAGGGGGCTACTACATCAAAACCCTAAGAAACTGGGTGGACTCCAAGCGTTAACCCTCCAGGCCAGTGGTTCTCAAATGAGGTAGGTGGGAGGGCTATTTTGCTCCATCTCCGAAGACATTTGGTAATGTTGAGACATTTTAGTGTCATACCTGGGGTGTCCGGGTACTACTGTGTTATCTAGTGAGTAGAAGCCAGGGATGCTCTTAAACATCTTACTACGCATAGAACAGATCCCACAGCAAAGAATTATTTCACTGAAAATGTTAACAGAGCCACAGTTGAGAAGACTTTAAGGAAGACATTCAGAATGAGCTATTTCAGCAAGGGCAGCCTCTCAGGCTAGGAAATGATTCAGCTATAGTATTTCTGGGGTGGAAGAACACGCAGCAGGATTCCAAATGGACCACTTCTAGGGGCAGATAAGAGGAATTCACGGTGTATCATTTAGAGATGGGAAGTTAAAATACGAAATAGAGGCTTTATCTGATCATCCATTATGGGGGGGGCGGTGAGGGTGAGGATTGAGACGCCAACACTCTTAAGACTGGAGTGCTGGGTCCAAAATTCAAAAATGCCGCCTAGGGAGAAGAGTAAAAAGGAACAAATTGGAGGGTACCAATGCGAGGCGGGAGGAGGCGCTGGGGTAAAGCATAAGTGTACCGTTTGGGACCGGAGGCCACAGGAGAGCCATCAGCCATCCCATATTTCCTGGAGGATATCAAACAAAGCTGGGAAACCGGATCCGGCCGGTCTGGTAGGGAATGGCGCGTCAGGCGGCGGGCTGAAGACTGGCAGCCGGCTCCGGACGCGCCTCCTTTAGCGGGAGGAGGCAGTGGGAGGGGTAACGTACAGTTCGGCCCGTACCATTCTGGCTGAAGCGAGGGCCGCACAAAATGCTGGCAACTGACACCTGGAAGAGGTTCTAGCTCAAGCACTCGCGGAGGGAGAGCGGGTTCAACCTGAACCCTTGCAGAGGGGGCAAGGAACCCGTAAGAATTCGCAACATTTCATACTGCATGGGCTGGGTTGTACTAACTCTGGCTCCGGATAAGGGGTCCACGCTGGGACAGGCGCAGGGCCGAAGCCGGGTTTATCTCACCAGAGCCATTGGGTCCAATGATGGCGGTGAACCTCTGAAATGGTCCGATAATCTGTCGACCCTTGTACGATTTAAAGTTCTCGATCTCAATCAGTTTCAGGAAACCCATGCTGGCAGCAGCGCTAGCAGCGGTAGGAGAGGCCGCGCCGTACGTCCTGGAACTAAGGTAGCCCGCGCGGGAACCGCCGTGGGGCAGGCCGGGCGTAAGGCAAACCTCGCGAGAATACGCCCAGGCCAACGGGACTTTCAGCTTCCGTCACGGAGGGAACTAGGGGCGGGGACTTCGGTCTGGAGTGGGTTTTGATGATCCGTTTATGGGGTGAGAGTTTATCGCAGACGTTTGGGCCCCGCCCCCCTTTCTTGTTGCATGGCAACAATAAACCGCTGCTACAGTGGACCAAGTTGTAGAGGAGTTGGTGCTGGGAGAATTCAGGGATCCAAGGAGGCAGGCAGGATCTAAGCCTACGCTTGCTGGAACGAGTCTGAAGTCACAGCAGGGACATGCCCCTCAGGGCAAGAGGAAGGTGGGAGCTCGGCTGTGGCTTTAGCTTGCCTGGCCTACAAGTCTGGGGAAGGACCAGGTCGGGAATTGCAAAGATCCCAGGGAGACAAGGCTGGCCAAGAAGGGTGCAGGGGGCGGATTCACTGTAAGATGAACTCAGACTTTGCTAATGGTGGGGTAGGATTGGAGGCAAGATGGGATATGAAGGAGGATGGGATATGAATGGAGCCAGAGGTACCCCCTAGGCAACAGGGTTATAGGCTGGGGGAGGCTGTGGCTTGAGCTACTAACCGCTATCCCCTGCCTCCCTCTTGTTCCTCCAAGCAGAGTTCAGAAAATGCCGCTGTAACACAAGAACAGAGTTGAACCTATATAAAACCTAGGAGCTTCAAAATCAGGATTTCTGAGAAAGGTATTTTGTGTGAACCCCTATGAGTCAGGGTCCTTAAGCCAGTGCTCTCCATCTCCATCCTTCTTCCCTTCTCTCCCTTCATGCCTCTCCCTTCCCATTCCCATTACTCTATACCCCTCCACCACCCTCTCTCTTCCCTCTTTTCTCATCTGTGATCTCCACCTCTTCACACCCTTGTTGCCCTGTTCCTCTCCACTCTGTTCCCTACCTTTTCTCTCTCTCTCTCTCTCCTCCATTCCTCATTTCCATACTATCACCTTATACTTGCTTATTACTAAGGCTATGGCCTTTGCAGTCCAAGCAGCTTAAAATATCTGCTGAATTTTCCCTTTCAGTGACATTGCATTGTGGTGGCAGTTGGGATCTGTAGGCTGGAGTTGGTGCCATTCTCAGTTAGACATGGAAAGGATCTGGTGGTTGCATAGCCATTCCTGTAACTATTTAAAAAATTATGTCTATTAAGATTCATGGCTCTAGGCTTGGTGCCTGTAGCTCCAGTGGCTAGGGGGCCAGCCACATACACCAGAGGTGGCGGGTTCAAATCCAGCCCAAACAAAAATGACAACTACAACCAAAAAATAGCCAGGGGTTGTGGCAGGCACCTGTAGACCCAGCTACTTGGGAGGCTGAGGCAAGAGAATCGCTTAAGCTCAAGACTTTGAGGTTGCTGTGAGCTGTGATGCCATGGCACTCTACCCAGGACAACAAAGTGAGACTCTGTCTCCAAAAAAAAAAAAAAAAAAGAGAGAGAGTCTAGCGGGGCGCAGTGGCTCACAACTATAATCCCAGCACTTTAGGAGGCTGAGGTGGGTGGATCACTGGAGCTCAGGAGTTGGAGACCAGCCTGAGCTAGAGCTAGACGCCATCTCCAAAAAATAGCCAGGCATTGTGGCCGGCGCCTATAGTCCCAGCTATTTAGGAGGCTTAGGCAAGAGAACTGTTTGATCCCGATAGTTATAGAGGTTGCTGTAAGCTATAATGCCAGGGCACTCTACTGGAGGCAACAAAGTGAGACTCTGTCTCAAAAGAAAAAAAAAAAAAGAAAACAAAGATTCATGGGTCTATACTCTGAGAGGCTGAGATAGAAATATCACTTGAACACAGGAGTTCAAGATCAGCCTGAGCAAAGCAAGACCCTGTATGTACTAAAAATAGAAAAATTATTTGGGAGCGGTGGTGCATGCCTTTGGTCTCAGCTACTCAGGAGGCTGAGGCAGGAGGATTCTTTGAGCCCAGGAGTTTGAGGTTGCTGTGAGCTAGGCTGAGCATGGCAATGGCACTCTAGTCAGGGCCACAGAGTGAAACTCTGTCTCCAAAAAGAAAATTCATGGGCCTACTGGGAATAGACTTTGGACAAATCCAAGAGACTGAAGAAGCTTGGTTAATGGAATCTATTAGGGGAGCTATAAATGGAATTCAGCTGGGAGAAACTGCATCAGGCTAAGGGAATAAATGGCCAAAGGATAGTCGTTTGGGGGAAAAAAATTAAACTGGACCCCTATGTCAGATCACATGTGAAATGCAATTACAAGTGGATTAAAAGTTAAATAAGGGCCAGGTGCAGTGCTTGTGCCTATAATCTTAGCACTCTGGGGGGCCAATGTGGGTGGATTGCTTGACTAGCCCTGAACAAGAAAGAGAGACTCCATCTCTACTAAAAATAGAAAAACTAGATGGCATTGTGGCTGGCGCCTGTAGTCCCAGCTGCTTGGGAGGCTGATGCCATGGCACTCTACCCAGGGTGACAGAATGAGATTCTGTCTTAAAAAAACCCCAACAAAACAAAATCATAACACATCAATTCACTATTCACAATCCTCCAGTGGCTGCCTACTTCTCTCAGAGTTAAAGCTAAATCCTTTAGAATGGCCACAAAGTCACACATGATCTGGCCCCTCTCTAACATCACTTTCTACCCACCTCTTTTACTCCAGCCACACTTGCTTCCTTGCTGTTCCTTTGAACATGTGCCTATATCATGCTTCCACCTTAAGTCCTTTATGCTTACTGTTCCCTCTGCCTGGAATGCTCTTCTCCCAGATATCTGCCTAGGCAATTCCCTCACCTTCAAGTATTTACTCAAAAAAATATTACCTTCTCAGCTATGCTTCCCCCTGATACCCATATTAAAAATTGCTATACTCCCCATTTTCTTGGCACTTCCAGTTCCCTTTATCCTGGTCTATATTTTTCCCACAATACTTATCTTATAAGCTAATGTATATATTATGTTTTACTCTTTATTGTCCGTCTGCCCCCACTAGAAAGTAAGCTCCAAAAGGACTCGGATTTCTGTTAGGTTTGTTCCTTGATTTCTTCCAAATGCTTAAAGGAGTGTCTGACCATTAGTAGACTCTCCACAAGTATTTGTTAAGTGACAGAATGAACATTGAATAAAGAAAGCAAGATGTAGAGGAGTACATACAGCATGACATTTTATAAAGGTCAGAAATAAGAAAAAAATTAAAATAGTCTTCAGGGACTCACATACATAGTAAACTAATATTAGTGAGGGAATGGTAGCATATTTTGGATAGTGTGTTAGGTGCTCTTGGAGTAAGGATGAGGGAGAAGAGACTAAGGACACTTTAATGGTATTATGTTCTGTTTCTTAATTAAGTTCGGGTGTAGGTTCATGGATCTCTATTTATCCATGCTTCCTAACTTACATATATACTCCTATATATATCAACTATTTCACAGCTACAAAATGGTTAAAGAAAAAAAGACTAGAGTAGCCATAGAAGGAGCTGAGGAATGATGCTCCAAATAAAGGAATAGCATAGACAAAGGTCCTGAGGTGGGAACAGTTGTGCTGGAGGACTTGATAGGAGGCCAGTATGCCTAAAGCACTGTGAGCAAGGGCAAAAGTGGTATAAGGCAATTTGGAGAGGTGTGAAGGAACCAGATCTTGAAAGTGCATGGTAAGGAATTTGGATCTGATTCTGAGTGCAGTGGGAAGTCAGTGGAGGATTTGGATAAGTTATTTTGGCTGTGGCTTTGGCTGGGTCACATGCCAAAAGTGGGCTTCCCAAAATATGAAAGGAACAAAGGCAAATTTAAGCCCATTAGAATTTTATTTGACTAGAAAATAATAAAAATAAAGGGGGACATTTATTTCAGAAAATAAAGCTAATTCAATTCTGTTTTTGTGTGATGAGTGGGCTATTGGAGACAATAGAGGAAGTGGGAAGACGACTGTGAAGACTGCTGTAGTAATTCAAGGAAATGGCAGTAGTGGCTTGGACCAGGCTTTTTTTTTTTTTTTTTTTTTTTTGCAGTTTTTGGCTGGGGCTGGGTTTGAACCCACCTCTGGCATATGGGGTCGGCGCCCTACTCCTTTGAGCCATAGGTGCTGCCCCAAGACCAGGTTTATTTTGAAAGAAGGAGTGAGGGAAAGAAACAATTAAAAAATGCCTCCTGAATTTTTGGCTTGAGGAAGTTGGTGAATGGTGATGCCATTTACTGAAATTAAGAAGTAAAGCATAATGAAAAAGGATGGGTATTGTAAATGAATCTGAGGCTTAAAAAGGTGAGCAGCGGTCAGATCATAAAGAACCTGATAAATATGGCAAAGGAAGTTGGACCTTATCTTGTAAGTACTGGGGAACCATTTGCTTTAAAGCTGCTTTCAAAGGTTTTAAGCTAAAGGAGTGTCATGGTCACATTTGCTTTCAGAAGGATCGCTCTGGTAGCCAGTGCAGAGAGGGTAACACTGAAGCAAGAGAGCCCAGTGAGGCTTCTGAGAATACTGCTTGATTCCAAAGTATAAGCCCTGAATTAAGGTGGTGATGGCAGAGATGGAGGACACAGAGATGAAATATATCAGGAAGTAAAATAAGTAGGAATTAATATTCCGAGAGATGTTCTAGGGAGAAAGGAAAGAGGGAAGGGGGTGTAGTCAAGGATAGTGATTGGCACTGATGGGCCATTCCTACCTCCTCCTTGCTCCAGATGTATAAGGTAGACCTGTCACCAGATCCCAAGGAGGCAGCAGCTATTGAGGCTAGAAGAAACCGTGAAAAAGAACGACAAAGCCGATTCTTCAATGTGCGGAACCGAATCATGGGGGTGAGTGGGGAGTGGGGACTATTGCTCAGGACCAGGGCTACTTCATTATACTTGGAGAGGAACATAGCAGTGGTCGTTATAGGCCTTCCCCTGATTTAAGCAGGCCCTATAGCTAAAAAAGAGATAGAGAGAAGTCTCCTATCCCCATAGGCCTGGGAAGGGATTGGGAAGAGGGATGAAGCAGTGCAGGGGAAGAGACTAGGGGTGACAGCTCACTGATAGGCAATACAGAGCTAGAAGAGACCTAAAGAATATTTGGTATTGCATATGTTGAAACTATCTCTGCAAGGCATTAAGAAACTGTTAAACAGGCTGAGGGACAGAAATGGAAGGGATACTTACTCCTCACTAAACTGTATTCCCTTTTGTACTATTTTGAAATGTTTTCAGGTGTCCAACCTTTTTATTTTCTCTGTCAAACACTGGAAAAAAGAAGCATTGTCTTGGGCCATACACTAAATAAACAAACACTAACAAAAGCTGATTAGCAAAAAAGTCACTGCATACACTACAGATAAGTAATAAAAATCCTTATAAAATCAGCATGTGGCCCATAGGCCTCAGGTTGGACGACTTTGTTTTAAATGAATTAGAATCAAAATAAAGAAAAAATATTGATAGTTTAAGAAGCAAATTAAAAAAAAAAGATTGCTGGGTGGGTAGATAGAGAGGAGGATGCAGCATGGTGGAAAAGACACCCTAGCTGTTCAAGGCCAAGGTCTGTTGATTGTTAAATGTGTGGCTTTGGTTAAGTCACCTGTCTTCTCTGAACAGAGGCCCCTCCTCTGTAAAATGAGGCTAAAGTAAGTGATAAGGAACATATTAGCATACAGTGGCAGCTCTGAAAACCAGACCATAGTGCCTGACCTAAGTAACTGGCTGAGGTTTGAGTTGTCTGATTGATATCCAGCTGGCAGGTATTTCCTTGTATCCTACTGTGTGCCACACACTGTGTTGGGTAGTGAGGATACATGGATGACTAAGGCTCAGTCTCTGGCCTGAAAGAGCTCACTGTCTGATGGAGGAGAGAATAGAAGAGGCAAACTTCTATATAAAGTGGGCAATGGGTCCTAGATTCTATGGTAATAGGACATGCCTCAGGGGTCAAGAAAGTGAAGCATGAGCTAGTCTTGAATGATGAATTGGAGGCAGAGGCTAGACCATGGAATATAAACCATTTTGAGGGACTGGAACTTTATTCAGTAGTACTGGGGAGTTATAGGAGGATCTTGAAGTGGGTAAATTCTAAGCAGTTTGTGTTAGACCATTCAAGGTCCCTTGCTGGGCCCCTACCCTGACCTCCCTCCTTTCTTTGGGATCAGGTGGATGTTGAAGCCTTGAACAGCCAGGTAGAAGAGCGAAAGCTTCGGGAGGCAAGAGAGCAGTGCAAGGAGGCAGCTTATGGTAAAAGTCCAAGGCCAGGGGCTAAAAGGGTAAAGAGCCTAAGTGGAATGAGGTAGGGCATTTCTGCCTCTGAGTGGGGCATGGGGCCCTGGGGAGATGGGACAAACTGATGGACTTTGAGAGCCAAGGCCATGCTAAATGGGCTCTATCACTCCTGTGGTACCCTCTCCATGTCCCTGCCCACAACCCTAGCTACCAACCAGGTGCAGTATGATCTGGTGGCACAGATGCTAGAGAAGGAACAGGCAGAACGGACACGTCGGCTGGCCAAGAAAGTCCAAGAATTTCGGGAGCAAAAGCAGCAGCTCAAGAACAGGCGTGAATTTGACCTTTGGGATCCAGAACGACTCTGGAAGGAATTTCCAGCCCGTCTCAGTGACAATGATCCTAAATGTGGCCCAGCCAGCCTGCAGTGCTTCTCTGGCGAGGACCTAGACAGGGCCATGCGCCTGACAACGCAGCAGGAGCAGTTCAGGTATAGCCTGGAGAGGCAGCTGCAGGATCAACAGCAAGCCAGGGTTGATGAGAAGTGTGCAGGTAAGTAGGCCAGTACTCTAGACTTGGAAACCTGAGGCCCAATGGAGAGCTGTACTTAGCTGGGTACAGCACCCAGGAGACCAGAATTGTGTGGGGGAGGTCTAATTACCTATAGGGCTGATGCTGAAAGGTTAGGCTGTGCAGAGACCAACCCCCCTGACTTCCTTCAGTAACTTGACAGTGTAGCCACCGTTCCTGATTAACCTGGAGGCAGCACAGTATAGGCATACCTAACAACTCTACTGCTTACTAGCTGGTTTGGACAAATGAATTTTTCTGTGCTTTAGTTTCTTCATTTTTCAAATGGGGATGATAATCCATACTACATAGAGTAGCTACTATTATGATTTTGTCTGTGACCATACCCTTCTCTTCCATTAGAGGAAGACCTTCAAGGGCAAGGACTGTGTCTCATCTACTTGCACTATTCACCTTCCAAATCAACTGTTACAGCACCCTGTTCTAGGGGACCACTTAGTGTAGTTGAACATAATTATCAAAGTACTTAATGTCGGTTGTCTCTCCAAAAGATGAACCATCTCTCTCATGTCCACCCCATCTTGCAATTGCCTAGTACATTGTCATAATGTCTCACAGATCCTAGGAAAAGCAAGCAGCTCAGTATGGCTGGAGTAGGAAAAAAAGTCAGTACCTTTTTTTATGTGCCCTTAGCCTGGAATGCTCTTTGCTATTTTGCCCCTGTATATATAATGTATTTCAAGGATCACCTCCTAGAAGCCTTCCTCTCATCCACCACCCAAAGCCCTCATAATGTCCTGTATACATGTCTGCCATTGCTCTTGCCAGATGTGGTCTGGTTATCTAAATTTGACCTGTCTCTCCCACTAGACAAGTTCTCTGAGGACAGGATCTAATCCCATGGTGTCCTTTGAACCCAACACATGGCCCTTAGACTGAGATTCAGGGATATAAAATGTTTTACCTAAGGCCACGCATCTCTGAAATGGTAGAGCTGGCATTGGGACCTAGGTCTATTGGAGGCTCCTTTCAGTTAGGCACTTGAGAAATCCTTGTAGTTACACTTTGGCTATCCCTAGCACCAAAGAGTAGCCCCTTTCACATCCTTAACAACTCAAGACACTATCCCCTTCCTAAACATACATACACATGCACAAAGCTTGTTGAACAAATGGCTGAATAAATGAACCAGGGATAGAACAAGCCAGTACAGTACAGCTGTATTTCTCTGTGTAGATATGCTCAATGACCAACTGCGCCTAGCCATGGACATGCAGGCAACTCAGTTAGCCAAGCTGGAAGAGTCCTGTCGCATGGCCATGATGTCTGCCGTGGCCAATGCCAACAAAGCCCAGGTATGGCCTGAGCCATCCAGCATACCAGGCTCTCTCCAACCCCTGAATAAGGTCCTGGGGAAACCTTAGCCACATCATTCCCCTCTTGTTCCCCTCTCAAATCAGTACCAGTCTTCTCATCTACCTGCAAGACTCCCCCTTCACCGAAGGTCCTTTTTTTTTTTTTTGGAGACAGAGTCTCACTTTGTCACTCTCTGTAGAGTACAATGGCATCATAGCTCACAGCAACCTCAAACTCATAGGCTTAAGTGATTCTCTTGCCTCAGCCTCCCAAGTAGCTGGGACTACAGGCACCCACCACAACGCTCAGCTATTTTTAGAGAAGAGGTCTCACTCTGACTCAGGCTGGTCTCAAACCTGTGAGCTCAAGCAATCTACCCACCTAGACCTCCCAAGTGCTGAGATTACAGGCGAGGTCCCTCTTAGGGCACAAGTTGCTTGCCCCCACCTCCAGACATGGAATGACTTGGGCACAAAGCATTGCCCTCTGATTCTGAGACTCCCAGTCTAGGGGCTTGCTAAGGGTGAAGTTCCCTTCCCATTCCACCCCTACCCTGGCTTACAGTCATTAAAAGGACATATAATGTCTGTTCTTTCTCTGAGATGGAAGAGTTGGGTCATGTTCTCCCCACCCCCTCAATTGAGAATTCTCTGAGGTTGGGCACCCAAATGCTTACATTCAGGGGCCCCACCAGGTAGCTGAGCTGGCTGAGCAGCAGCGCCATAAGCATCAGCGTGAACAAGAGGCCAACCTCATGGAGATCCAGAACCAGATCACAAGTGACTTCCTGACTGAGAACCCTCAGGTCGCCCAACACCCTATGGTTCCCCACCGGGTCCTGCCCTACTGTTGGAAGGGCATGACTCCAGAGCAGCGAGCTGCTATCAGGAAAGTCCAGGAGGCTCAGCGCCTTGAGAAGGAGGCACAACGCCAGGCAGACCAAGCGCTGGATACTGAATGGGAAAGCCAGACCCTGCGCTCAGCCCAGGCAGCGCTGGAGCTAGAAGAGCAGGAAAGGGAATTGTGTGCTGAATTTCGGAGGGGGCTAGGCTCCTTCAACCAGCAGCTGGCTAAGGAGCAAAAAGCCCAGTGAGTTCTAAGAAGTGGAGTGATATGGGGATAAATGCCAAGGAAGGGTGGGGAAGGATGGCAAGGACCAGGGAGAGAGGGAAAGTACATCAGCTGAGGCCTCTGGACTTCTTTCCCAGGCAGAATTACCTGAATTCGATAATCTACACAAATCAACCTACAGCCCAATATTACCTACAGTTCAACACCAGCAGCCGCTGAGCTCCAGGATGGTTCTCTCTCCTTTCTCCCCCAATGAGCTCACAGATGACTAGAGGTCAAAGGAGGAAAATGTATGCTGCACACCCCTACTTTATACCCTAGGTAATAAACTTATTCACCAAAATCAGGCCATGTGTTGTAACAAGATACAAAGAGCATGAGGTACTACCTTTTCCTCTCCACCCATGGGCTCTGAGCATCCAACCCTATCAGACATTCTTTCTTCCCCATGCCAGCATACAAGACTGCCCATGCCCTGTGAGAAACACTTTATTAGGCACAGAGGGTGACTGATAGATAGTTATAAAATGGCTACTAGGCTTCCTCCTGAGCTGGAGAGTAGTACCCCAGGAGAAGGAAGGGCAGAGGAGCATGTTTTCCCTGCTTTTGCCCTTCAGGGCTGCATGCGGATGGCCCCATCCAGCCGGATGACCTCTCCATTGAGGAAAGAGTTCTCGATGATGACCTGTACCAGATGAGCATACTCAGCAGGGTTTCCTAGTCGGCTGGGGAAGGGTACTTGGCTGGCCAAGAAGTTGCGCACCTTCTCTGGGAGGGTGGTCAGCAGGGGGGTGCCAAATAGGCCTAAACAAGATAACCAGAGTCAGAGTACCACCCTTCCTTTCATATTTACCCAGTTCTTTCTCACTTTAACCCTACTTCTTGGTGCTTGCTTCCCTGGGGCCCAAAGGTGAAAGGCTGCTGTTGCTTAGGTGGTGGATACTTTTCCTTCTCAATTGCCCACAGATCCCACCCGATCCCACCCAATCCCAGGTGTAAGAGGGAGAGGGGATATGTCTACCTGGAGCAATGGTCATCACCCGAATACCTATGGGAGCCAGATCCCGAGCAATAGGCAGTGTCATGCCTACTATGCCCCCTTTGGAAGCAGAATATGCAGCTTGTCCAACCTGGAGAAGAAGTGTCAGTCATAGGAGGGCCCCAATAAGTCACTGAGGAGGCACACAAACCTTGTCCCTACCTACACACCTGGCCTTCGAAGGCAGCCACACTAGCTGTGTTGATGATGACCCCACGTTGGCCTCCCTGATCTGGTTCATTCTGGCCCATCTCACCAGCCACCAGGCGGATCACATTGAAGGTACCTATGAGATTCACCTGGAGAGGTAGACATAGTGTAGGACCTCAGGCAGAGGCAGCTTTTTGTTCCCTAAACATGCTGGGGGCACGCACAGCCAGACACCTCTTACTCCTAACCCCAGAGAACCTTCAAGGACTTACATTGATAACTCGCTGGAAGTCCTCCAAGGTATGGGCTTGGCTCTTTTTTAAGTTGTATGTCTTGATGGCCACTGCAATGCCTGCACAGTTGACAGCAACATCCACATGGCCAAATTTTTCTTTGGCTAAAGTCAGGGCTGTTTGCACATCCTTCTCAGAGGTCACCTTCAAAATGAGAAGTGGAGAAGGTATTAATCTCTCAGCACACATTCTCACCAGTAAACCTGGGGGAGGAAAGGGCAGGCCCAACTCAGTCTTTGGGTGAGAATAGGGAAAAGACCAAGAGAAAGGGTTGTGGTAAAACTGGAGCGAGGAGAGTAGAACAAAGTTGAAAATGTTGCATACTATAGAGTAGTATTACAAAACATTTTTTAAATCAACATCCTCTTGATAAATTCACATGCTCCTGGAGATTTTCAGTTGCTGTGGATCAGACCACGAATACAACCTTGTGAGAATTACTGATAGGGACAAAAAAAAGCTAGTTTATTTTTCTATCTCCTAATATGATTTAATCAAACTTTCTGTAGTCTGTTTCATAAAAAGCTTTTTGGCTTTGTAAATACAAAATTATAGGGCACCTGGCAGGGTGCGGTGGCTTACTCCTGAAATCTGCCAAGACAGGTGGATTGCTTGATCTCAGGAATTTGAGACCAGCCTGAGCAAGAATGAGACCCCATCTCTACTGAAAATAGAAAAATCTAGCTGTTCCTTGTGGTGGGCGCCTGAAGTCCCAGATACTCTGGAGGCTGATGCAAAAGGATGACTTGAGCCCAGGAGTTTGAAGTTGCTGTGAGTTATGAAGCCACAGCACTAGCCTGGGGCAAGGGAATGAGGCTCAGTCTAAAAAAAATAATACACTGTGCAATATGCATTTTCAAACCATCTTTACTCCAAGAGATTCTGTTATGTCCAATTCCCAACCTTATTGTTGTGATTCCTGGCTTTAGAGAATTCTTACTGCAGGTATTCCAGAGTGCTTAAAGGCTCAGAGCAAAAGGGGCGAAGTGGGTCCACCACCCGACCAGACCACAGACTTACGGGAGGGACCCCATGGCTTCCCAGGCCTGGGTTGGTAACCTCATGTACACCCTGAGAAAAGAGAGGTGACTTCACTTACGTCGGTTGGAGCAAAGACGCAGCTCTTTCCTAACTTCTTGGCTTGGGCCTCCCCACCCGAGCTGGGCAGGTCCAAAAGCACAGCAGCGGCCCCCTGACCCACCAGTCGCTCCGCTGTGGCCAGGCCCAGGCCTGAGGCTCCTCCGGTTATTACTGCGACCAAGCCCTATGAGTAAGGACAGTTAGCCAATATACCGTCCAGACCACCCCTACACTTTCACCTGTCTATTCTCCAGGCTTCTGTGAAGAGGATGGGGGTTTGTACTTCTGGTCGCCTCTGCGCTGTGACCCTGGTGTGCTTCCTCTCCTCACTGATGGGATCTCTGCAGGCGCGTGGTCTCACGCCCAAACGGCCGGTTCAATTACCCTACATACATGTGCCACAGTGTTGACTTTAACTTCCCGGGCCCAATTGCCGAACTACCAGAACTAGATAAGATTTCTCCCTGCACCTATCTCTTTCCCCTAGTTTAACGGCCGTTTTGTCCCAGCCCATGCAGCAAGCAGGGCAAACAGCCGAAGCAGGGAGACACGTACCTTCACGCTTCTACACGCCGCAGCCATCTTGCACTAGCCTTCTCTCTGTAAGGCTGCGCAGGCACCCGCTGATTGGCCAAAGCGCGGGGCGGGTCCTACGGGGTGGGCGTCTGCCGCGCGGGTCGTAGAGTTGTGTCCTGCGGCTCCTGTGCGTCTCC